ATTAGAACATTTTTTTGTTGTTGGGCATGAAATGCGTCCTAAACGCTATTCGGTTTAATTTTTAATAAACACAAATGCAGCACTCGCTGTTTACTTTAAGCCGGTTTCGATGCAATAATTGAATTAAATTCATGAAAAAATGTATCATTCACATTAGAAATTCCTAAAGTGTTGCATTTTGTTGTTAAATGAATTCGCAAAGTTTCGGCTTTTTTCAGTGTTTGCGTTACTGGTAATGCGTGCTTTTGTAATTTTTCTATTGAACTTTTTCTGTGCAGGTGATTTGTCAAGTTTCTCAAGAAAAATCCTATTTAGGCCACGTTTTGTTATCTAATAAATCAGTGTTTAAGCGCTTGACCAGGCATGGTAAAAGTGTTTTTTAGGGGAAAATTGCAAACATTAATTGCAATTCATTGTGTATATTTTCCTGACTGTATTTCAACTTAATTCAGAAGAAATTCCTGGGTTCCAGTCAATTTTATTGTTTACCATTTAAAATGTCGCAAAAACGTTTCGGTGTTTTTCTCCACCATCATCAGTTGTTGTATGTATGGTTCGGCTAAGCACGGTCGAGTCTTGATGTCTTCATTTGCTTTGTGCAGTGAACTTGCATCTTCCCTGCGCACTCTTAATCAGCATCTTTTGTTGAGTCTTCGATTTCTTTACATGCTTTTCTTGCATTTTTCTTTGAAGTATTTTATTGAGTCTCTTGTTAAGTCTTCGATTTCTTTGCTTGTCTCTTCATATAATCTTGTCTCGACTTTAGTTTGCTCGTGGTCTTCATTCGAAGATCGCCTTGAAACGCTCTTTCCACTTTGTTTTTATATTGTCGAACAATTTCTTCTTTTCAATATAAACAAAATCTTGTCGATGTTGCACTCTTCAAGCACATAGTCGTTGGCACCTACAAATTCACTACTCGATTCACTATTTCTTCCCTAACAAGCAGTTCTGTCGATAAAAACGAAACCGGACAAATAATGATTATCGAGTTTTTCCACATTGCATGCGTGTGTCTCACTTAATTTCCAGTCCATATGTGCCGATGTCATTTTCATTCGATTTTATTGAGGAAGCGGTAGATTTAGCCATTATTGTGCAAAAAGTGTTGGACGCTGTTGTTTAGATCAACTTACAGGACAGTTATTTACTGCATCAGAGCATCAGAAGTTGAAGTAAAAAAACACAAAATAGTGTTTTGAAGTGTGTCTCAGTCTCATCTCTTCCTCTAGTTACTTTGATCACAATTCATTTGCTTCTTCATTGATTACATGCGGATCGATTTCAATAATTCTACGCATTAAACCAACAGCATAGTAAAAATAATTGCCAGTAAGGTTTTGCGTGGTCATGCTTATTTATATTCAAATTGTTTGCCCATCCCATCCCATCTGAAACTCATATTTAATCGTTGCAATATGTATTATTAATTATCG